ATACTGATCACCCCGGTGTGATCGTACGCTTCAGGGACCAGCCAAGACTGATCACACCGGTGTGATCTTACGCTTCAGGGACCAGCCAAGACCGATCACACCAGTGTGATCGTACGCGTTAAAGGGCGACGCATCGTATGGCTTCAGAAGTAACACAGAATAAAGATTTATTTTATTTGTGTTACTTATTTGATTTGGGGCTTGTTTAAAAATTTTAATGTAGTTTTGTTATTTACATTTACATTATATTTAAATTTTGTCATTTAGCAGACGCTTTTGTCCAAAGCGTCTTACAAATGAGGACAATAGGAGCAATCAAAACCAACAAAAGAGCAATAATATGCAAGTGCTATATTAGTATATTATTATAGTGTTATTTCACAAAGAAATGTGCAGCATTTTGTCCAAGCAATAATAAAAGGACACATTTAATTTATAATTTGTCTTAAATCTCATTTTGTAAAAAATTAATCGTGAACCGAATCGTGAAATCAAAACCGTGAATCAAATCGAATCGTGAGTTGAGTGAATCGTTACATCCCTAATATAATGCTATCCAGAACAGAATAAATTAACACTAAAATCTTCAGAAGCTGTTAGAAAGTCACAGCTTTAATATGAATAAACATATGACTGAACACTGACTGAAGCAACCAGCCTTAAACCCATTTTAACAGTTGGTCACTTCTGGGACAGAGTTAAAAGGCAACAATCATGCCAAATCAAATACGTGCATAAAACTGAGCATCATGCAAACCAGCTCTACACCACAAAAACTAAAAGTCACATGATAAGACGGAAGGTGTAATGAAAGTGAAAGCGGTCATCTTTTACTTTGGGTTATCTGCATTTACTGAGACAAAGATTTCAATAAGGAAAACTGTTTAGCTTCACCAGATAGGCTAAATGCCAATTTCCTCTCAATCTACACCTCAAGAGATGTCACCTTTACAGCTGTCTGGTGTATTGTAAAGGGAGGAAAGGCATAATTCAACTGCCTCTTTATTCGAGACTTCCAGGACAGGAGATGGAGACAAACAGATGAATGGCTAAACACCCCAAAAGAGCATGATTCATTCTTTGGATATCTAAGACCAAAATGGTAAAGGCTGGGAAAAAGTGACTCTTAAATAACCAATTCCAGGCATGCAAAACTTGTTGTAAACAACAGTTATTATTGTTGTGTAATATATATTCTTATATTAAGATAAGATGCATTGGAGGTTTCAATTAAACATCTTAATTCTTAAGATCTTAATTCCAACCCCAACCTCCGACATCTGATCATACCCCCCATCACCTGGCCATCTGCCACCCAAAAACACAAGCCAATCATTGCTTTCTACTGACATTCCCAAATGAGCATCCAAGAAATCACTGGCATTGAGCTGCAGTCCCTGGGAGATGAGAAAAGTCAATATGTTTTCAATTGATTGGTGAGGGGCATTCTTAAATCAATGAAGAACATACTCAAATATGAATCCTCACAGCTCAACCTGATCCAGAGTTACCAAGAATCCTCAAAACATTCACTTGATCTCGTTTCTGTGGCTCTATTTCTTTCTTTGTTAAAAGCACCCCTCAAGGCTTGTCTTATTTCAACCAATGGTACTCTCAATAGCATTTCCTCTTATGAATATGTAAAGCTCTTTAAGTGGAAGTTAAATGATCGTCTTCCTCTACTGACACTCACAAGTATCTTCCCGAGTCCTGCTGCCAAGGTGATGAATCAAATCTAACTTGTTCCTGATTCTGTTGAAAGACACGGTTGTGCTTTGAGCCCAAAGGCTTCGGACTTGCTCAGTGTAATGCCATTTTCACAAAACCCCATGGAACTACAGTTTCAAGGCCCATGACACATCATCATACATATAAAAAGAATGAGTAATTTGTGACATGGATCACAAAAGAATGAAGTATACATTAAGATAACGCCAAATTGTTTAACCCCTATCAAGCCTGCAATATCAAATTGCATTCAGAAAAATCTAATTTTTAGGAAAGGTTGGAAGGGAAGGAGTTCCCATAACGGAGAAATATCTCCGTGATGTCTCGTGAAAGCTCGAGAGGGAACTACAAATGTTTGCATGCATTTTATATTTTGCATCATATTTGAAACATCAGGCTTTTATAGTCCATAAAGTGAGAATATGTAGCTCATCACCTCGATTTTATTCAGAGGCCCAAACTGAGCAAAAACATGCAATATGGTGCAGATGCAGTTATTTATGTGTCCAAAAAGAAAGATGAAATTTTGACAGCTTGTATATCAAAGAGTTTAACAGCATAGCAGACTACTTGCATTAAATGCATAAAAATATGAGTTGTCGCTCTATATCTCCCAATAATGTCTTAGTAAGATGATATTTAAATGCTTCATTTTATGCTTAAAGCTCTGTTGTTTCAATTGTGTAGACAAAACATATAATTTAATGCAATACAATGATGACAGAGTTACAAAATAAACTTTCCTCAAAAGCCTAAAACAATTATTCCGAAACGTATTTTACTTGCTATTAAGCATGTACAAACTATCAATCTGAGGGCAGAGAGCAAGAAGATTGTGTACCACAGGTTTTTCAGCCAAGTTTTGACCAGGTCGATCAATTTTAGATGCTTTAGTTTCATGTATCAAATATGATACAGTAGAATTTACACTGTTAAATCACACATATACACAAGTCAGCCTGGTGGGGAATAAGCATGCAGCTACTGAGTGCCTCTTAGCACACCTGCATGTAGTAAAGTGGAAGTTGTGGCTGCTCATTTGCATGCACTGATTTTAATGTTTTGTTTGATGTACGTGGGAAAAGTCATGCGAGCCATCACCTTTGGCTAACCTACCTCTGCACAACCAAGAATAGGACACTGGGTAACAAGTGTCTTGCTTCACTTCAAACGTGCCTTTCAGCTTTAAAATGCAATATTATAACTATAGGTTTGAGGTCGAGTGGATGAATCAAACATGTCGTTTAACAAACAAAACAATTTTCCGAACAACCCCAATAGTATTTCACGGGTAAAATGTGTCATTTATTAAAAATGGCTGGTCAATTGGGCCCCGTGAGGTGCCCTCAAACCCCCCATTCACCCCAAATCTGCCCCAAGCTGTCCGGTTATCATCTTTTCAGCAACATATAAACTTAACCTGTCCATATTAATGCTGACCTGTGTGAGAGAAAAGAAAACTGGGTTTGGTTGCGTGGTGTGTCGTTGCTCACGGCAGTGCTAACATTAGCCAGACCGAATCTTTTCTTTTAAAAGAGCAGCAGCTGCAGCACGCTGACTAGCCGTTAACATACCTATCTCCGCCGGTCCCGTCTCTCTCTTCAAGTATATCGTTTATTCCGTCCAGAAGGTCTGTGTCCTGGCCCTTTGTATTGTGTGTTTGAGCGTGTGTGTGTGAGAGGCCGGCTGTGGATTACAAAAACTCGTGCTATGCTAGTCCCAGCTAGCCGAGCGGTTAGCGACCCACAAAACCTCCTCCACCAACAAGAGAGAAGCGTTTCTCTCCCTCTCTCTCTATCGTTTTCTTTCTCGTTACGTCTCTTTGGTCACGTCGCCGGTGTGAGGGGAGCAGTAACGGGCGGTTTCTCGTGCGCTCGAGAGAGGGCCCCGCTCGCGCCGCGGCCTGTCGCACAATCAAAGATGGCAGCGCGCCAATCCACGAGAGCCTGACGTCACCGCGTACAGGCGCTGCGTAGCGTCAGCGACCGAAGAAGCGCCTTCAACATGTCAGACACCGCAGATGGCGTCCTTTATACTTTCTGGAAGACGCTGGACTGGTCGTTTTTTTTTATTATAACAAATTATGCAAATATATACACAAAAATGCCAGAGAGTGTACATAGCAAACACCTTTAGCCTAGTTGGATATATACAATATAATATTTTAAATGTAACCTCTTTTACTTATTATTGAAACAATATTTTCCATGAATACTCCAAGCTTGTATTTGTCCACAATAAATTTTCATGAGTAGCTGTTTTATCTACTATATTATATCTTTGGTCGTTCGCATAACACCAAACCGTATGGCTTTCTCTCTTCTGTGCAACACAAAAGGAGATGTTTGGCAGAATGATGACACTGCTCTTTTCCATACAACTAGGCCTTAAATAAGCATCATGAAAGATGGTTTGTGAGAATTTGTACTTTGTTACTCGCTAGTAAAATGCAGTCACTACACATTTTGTCATGAGCAAAATAAAGGGGTCTGAACTGTGATTAGATTTTATATCTCTAGTGTAGTGTACATTTACTGAATTTGTTTTTCATAATCTTTAAGGAATAGTTCACACAAAAAAATTCTGTGGGAAATCAAATAAAATGTTTTGAGAAATTAGTGTTGTGGGCAAATATATACAATTAAAATGATAGAATTACCATACTTTCATGTGTGAAGTGTCCTAATAGCGACCTTTAAAGTGACCCAATTTTACAACTTTTATTGCCTATCCATAAGAAATGTGCTGTCAAGTGTCTATACTTTTATTTACATCAGTAATAATGAGCATGCATGACTCGCTGTTTTATAGGTTTACTACATCGCAACTTACAATAAAATTAATTTACAATAAATTGCACTTTTTTAATTACCGACTGTGAGCATTTATTTAATTATTGACTGTGAGCAATCCAGTAAAATTAAATGTGGTTCCACACTGATTTACTGTTATTTTTATTGATTTATTTTTCTTATCAATACTACAACTGGTTATTTCTTAATAATAATAGTTACATTTTGATATTACTTGGAAATAATCTAATACGCTCTCTGTGGTTAAAATCACTTATGTAGTGCTGAAAAAGTATATCTATACATTTCTTTTCATTAGTTTAATGGCGCATGCTGGTTTTCAACAATTAAAACAATTACATACAAAACTACACTACTACAAAACTAAAATTACATACAAAACTACACATAAAATCAATTTTACAATAAAATGTACATTATGCACAAACTGTTTTTCAATTGTTAAGGCACTTGCTGATAAATCAAAGGAATTCTTCAAGTCTAAAAATCAGTATCAGTATTACTATAGAAAATTCACAGAATGTAAGAATTTCAGACACTACTTTTTTTCACTGTTACAGTTTAGCCTAATCGACTCATGTACTCAGGTACAAAAGCCCTGATCTTGTCCAGGAGCGATGAAGGGTCTGCTATGAGTGCATGCAGACTGGCTCTGCTGTAATACAGAGCAGACAGCAGCGCTGCAACAGACACTGAGAATATGAGTGAATGAGAGGAGCGCTGTGACTGCGGCTCTGGTGTACAGCGTGTTTTCAGGGGCTCGTCGACTCGATCCCACTGAGTCAAGATGGCCTGACGTGCACCGTCCCATCGTCCCGGTCCGTGCAACCGAAACTGGTACGGGGTGCAGGGCCCAAAGATGATGTTCAGAGCAAGTCTAGGGTCTGTCAGGAGCAACTTCAGGATAGGAGGACAGACACCTACTTGTTTAGCCAACTCGTCCATGTAGGGGATGTAGTCGACCTGGATGGTGTGTCTCTGGGCGGCCACATACCTGCATGAGAGTGTGATTAAGAGTCATCAAGATCCACTAAATTACATACTTTTAACTGTAGGAATTGTGTAAATGCTGTGATATATGTTCATGTGAGATGTTAAGTGTGGAGAACCTTTTAGCCATTGCTTTCTCTTTTGCTTTAATGTCCTTCATCATTGCACTCATTGGTGGCAGTTTGCACAGTCCTAGTGAGGATATCACAGTTTATTACATACAAAAACACTGTATACTTATTAACATTAATAATGTTCTTACATGTTCATGTTTCACATTAATGTTTTTTAAGGGTCATTTCATGAAATAATTACGTAAATACAGGGTTTTATTGAAGTGTTTGACCGTTGCACTCACATCTTGAGTCTTTTGCAGCATCTCATGCATGACACAGCATTTTAAAAATGCAGTGTTAACTTAAGTTAAACTTTTAAAAATGCATCTTTTAACCCTTTTGCGCAATAGAAAGGTTCCATGGATGTTAAAGGTTCTTCCCTTTTTAGAGTATAGGAGGTCAGCGTCATGTTTGATACCTTTAAAAACACGTGCGGCCCAGCGTGCTTGCATCTCAGAGATGGGCATAATGGCTCCCAGAGGCTGGATCAGACCAATCACTGCTAAAGTTGGGCGCTCCAATCCTGGGGGATATACGTATTTGTACAGGGATACCTTGTTCTTTGAGACAGGAATTGCATGTGAAGACAGGAAGGGGAATGAGAAAGTGTAGCCTGTGGCAAACACCACCAGATCAATGTCATCTTCAACAGTGCCATCCTCAAACACCACACTTGACCCACGAAACTCTTTAACATTTGGCTTGACTGAGACAGTACCGGAGAGGATGCGGTTTGGTAAGTCATCATTGACTGTGGGATGTTGACTGAAAACTCTGGGGGGAAAAACAACAGACATTAAATTATACACTACAAAGAGGGTTAATTGCAGCAAAGAAACATTCATGGATTCGGTCTTGTTCTACATTTATAAAGATGACCTCCTCATACTTAAGTACCAATATTAAGACTGACCAACATCATCAGAGTCTTATTTCTCCCAGTGTTCACAGTACCTGTGTGCAGGCTGCAGCCCATAGAGCTTGTGGTTGAACCGTTTATTGAGTAGTTTCTCTCCGAAATTGCTGATAAATCCAACAGGCAACAATTGAGAAAGCCAACCATTCATTCTGTTATTAAACAACATATCTGTTGGAACACCTTTGTCTCCTACACGATTTAGTATCCAAGATCCCCTTCGGGTGCTCAGATAAACCTGGAATTAAAGTAAGGGATACAATGTGGAAAACAGAAGCTTAAATAGGAGTATAATAATTCATACACTTTATGTGTATGAATTTATATATACTCTATATGTATACTGTAGTTGTGGCATATCACCTGTTTGGCCATTCTGCTCAGCTCCACAGCAATATCTCCTCCAGAATTCCCAATGCCAATCACAACTACCCTCTTCCCTCGCCATTCTTCAGGGTTTTTGTAATCACGGCTGTGGAAGAATTTCCCCTTAAATATGTCTATTCCTAAAGAGAGGATTTGAATGAGGCCTAATGACTCTTGTACACCTAAGTTTACTATGCCTTTATTGACATTATGTTGTTGCACTTTGCACATAGACCCTGTTTGCTTAGTTATCACATGTGCTGCACCTGGAAAGTCCTGTAGAGGGAGATGAGGGTGACAGTGGTGTCCGGTGCAGACCATCACAGCATCAAACACCTGCTTTTCTCTCCGACCATCTTTGGACTCTGTCTCTACATCCCACTGTCCAGAGTGAGGGAAGTCTGGCCTTGGTGTAACATGAAGAACTTTTGTCTAGGAAACACAAACCATGACCTTGTGAATATTTGAAATACAGTACAGTATATTTATAACTTCACAGTTTTAATGTGTCAGCTTCAGTTCTGACCTGGAAGCGGATGTGCCGTTTGAGCTGGAAGTGGTCAGCGTACATGCGGAAATAGTCCATGATGAGGGAGTTGTGCATGTAGTTTGGGAAGTGGGCAGGGATTGGGAAATCACTGAAACACATCATCTCCTTTGAAGTGTTGATAATCAAAGAGTGGTAAATGCTAGCACGATCTGGATCTGGATTTTCCTAAGATGGAAAGACATGCAAACTGGATCATTTTCTTGCAACATGTTGTTCCTTCTTTTCTTCAAAGGGTCCAATCATACAGACATGTCTCACCTTAAACCTCCAGAGTCCTCCAATGTCATCACTGGTCTCGAAACACACTGGCTCCAGACCTTCATCCAGGCAGCATTTGATGCAGGCCAGCCCAGAGGTTCCTCCTCCAATCACAGCAACACGTTTAGCCATGACGATCCACAACAGTCAGACTTTAAGCAGATGATAGAAAAACTCAATTTAAAGTAATAGTTTATCAAAAATGGTCATCAATTATGCATGCATTTGATGTTCTAAACTCATATGATTTTCATTCTATTATGGAAATTTGTCATTTTTTCAGAAGCATGAATCCATCCACCAGTGTTATTTCCATCATATCTCATTATGCAGTGTTTGATAGCTTTCCATTGTCGAAATTACATTATTTTTGTCATGCAATTTCATAGTCAGAATTTTATATACCCTTATTACACACAATAAAATAATATTTCCACACTTTTTGCATAATTTTACAAACTGAAATTGATGCAGAGAAAATGTTCTGCTTGCAAGGTGATATTTACCTTTTTATCTCAAGCTTAAAGTATACAGTACATTAACATGCATTAGGCTATGTAGTAATGGCAAATCTTCATATTCTTAACTGGCTAAATTGCATTTACACCTTCCATATTCCTGTGTTTTACCCTTTCAAAATGAAAAACGCCATACACATTACATATGTATATTATCTTATATAAATTCACATTTATTTGATGCTGCCTTGGTAAAAGATGTGTTTAAGCGCTTCCATGAAAATTAGAAAGACCCTCAAAAAGACGCGGGTCATGAATCGGGAAGAAAATCGAGTATTCCAGGGGAATAATTCATGGGATGTTGTCCATTAGATCAAGTGACCACAAGGCCATAGTTTTGGTGTTTTTCGCTCTACGAGAGCAGAATAAAAATTAAAAAGCCAATAAAAAATAAAAAACACGATGCAAAACGTTTAGTTTACTAAAAGGACTTGTCAAATAAGTTCTTGTCATACAATACTGT